GGCACTAGCAATGCCCTGGGCAAGTCGCTTCACCTGTCCACACTTCTATTCCCTCAGCTACAGAATAGGTATTCTGATGATATTCCCTACCTTTCAAGGTTATGGTGAGGTTTGAGTGAATTAATGTACATGAATATACAGTTCAGTGCCTGGCATACATAAGCCCTATACTGTTAGTTATTATTACCATTATTTTTATTATCACTGTTTCTACACAGCTTACTTTTATGCTCCTACAACTACAAGATTTTCTAAGTTCTGTGGTTATTTCAAAGCATGGCAGCAAATTCTTAAACTGCCCTCCCATGGAGAAGTAGAGCCTGTGGCCCTCTCTTTGAATCTGGGTGAGCCTATGACGGCGTCAATCATTAGAATGGCACCATGTGGCATTTGAGGATGGACCAAAAAAATGCCAAGTTCTTCTACCTTGTTGGCTGGAACGTATCCTTCTGGCGCTCTGAGTAGCCACGTGAGAAGCCACCATGCTTGAAGGAAGTGCACGACAGGTCTAAGGGCCACAGGTAAGTGTTCTGGTAGGCAGTCCCAGAGACATACAGCCCCCAAGTCATCCCAGCTGAGAAAATGCCACTCCCAGTTAGTAGCACCATCTTCTGCCATTCAGGTCTCCGAGCTGTGACCCTAGGCACCACACAGACACACTATCTTTGCTATGCTGTGTCCAAGTCCATCTCCAGGGACCATGAACACAGCACATGATGTGGGGTCACGCCACCAAGGCCAGGTAAGCTGTCCTTCGAGGAGAGCAGGAGTTAGTTTTCGACATGAGCCCACCATCCCTCAGAGACTCTGCCTCGGTTTGCAGAGACAACTTATTACCCCACCATGTTCCAAACTTCCTCGTGGGCTTTCTCAGCTTCTTTCCTCTGTATGGGTCTCAGTCAGACCATCTACTTCCTCTAAATGTTCTAGAGGCACTCCTGGTGGCCCCATGTCTTGTCCCCAAATCTTCATCTTTGTGTAATGACTTTTCATGTCACATAATTTTCTTTATTTTACCAAAACAGGTCCCAGAGCTGAGATTAAGAAAATTCAAAGAACTTATCCAATGTCATCTAGCTCCTTCATGGGATGCCTGGCTCCCCTCGGATGCTATTTCTCCTGTGATCTGTTTAATTACAGTCATAAAGAAAGCCAAGCCTCTCTATTCTGGGTCTGAAGTGGGGAAACTCATCCTGAGACCAGGGGGACTATCATCTCCCTGAGCATCCGTGAACTTGCTTTCTCCTCAAGTCTTCACTATCTGTCACCCAGCTGTCTCTACAGAGGCACCTCCTGATGGTTAATCAGGATGACAGCCGAGCATTTGCTTCAGAATTAAATGCTGCAATTAGACTCAGGTAATAGCTGCCTGTGTACACAAGTGTGTGTGGAAAGCATTTCAGCTGATGCTGCCAGTCACCATCGTCAGTACCTAGAAATCCTGAGTCTGGCCCAGCAAGCCACTGAGTCCTTGTCCATCTCTCCCACTTCCCAGACTCCACAACACAATGAAGAAGAGTGCTGGTGTGCCAGGAAAATAGCTCTCTAAAGAAAAAAAAAAGAAAATTTAAAAAAGCCCTGATTTGTAGCACAATTTGTAGCCGATTCCCATGGTATAAATACACTCTCAACACATCTGTTTAAAGCGACCTACATGAGGATTTGGGACAATATGAGCACACTCGTCTCTTACGAGCCAGTTCTAGTGCACCAGTGAGTCTCCTTTAGTTGATCACAGAGTCAAGTTGCCACTCTTTACTAGTTTGCTTTCCACAAATTCTCCCTGTAGACCAATGTCCAGGGAAGGATTATTCTCAGCACAACTGAACACCACTCCCACAAGATTAAATAATTTGATGTGATTATTGTCTGTTCACAGATACACTCTTTTGTGGAAAATTTTGACAATTCAAGAAGTCACTTTTACTATATTAGCAGGGCTCAATATCCTGGTTTTCCGGTTGGAAATCGAGTGTCCACTCAGCCTTTCAGCCTCCAAGATGCACAACTCTGCCTGAGATCCCAGTGTAAAGGAACAGAGAGAAGGAAATACCAAGAAAAGTGCTTATGTTGATAAATTGTGCACTGAGCACCTACTATACACATTCTTTTTGTTACATCTGCAATGTTTTGGGTACTCACAGTGATGCAGTGGTGGTTAAAATAACTTGACTCTGTGATCAACTAAGGGAGAATCACTGGTGCACTAGAACTGGCTCATCAGAGACGAGTGTCCTCATATTGTCCCCCTATAATTAACTCTGATTCAAATAGAAAACACAGGTGATACGCAAGTTGATGGATAAATGAACAAGACAAAGTCATATAGTGTCAAATGTTGAAGAAAATAAATAGACAGTGATGTGATAGAAAACATGTGGTACGACTTTAGATTGAGTGGTCACAGGTGTCCTTTCTGAGCAGGCGACATCCTGGCTGAGACTAAATGACAGGAAGGAGACACCATGCAAAGATCAGGGAGAGAAAGGAGTTTGGCAGTGGGGTGACGAGCAAGGAAACCCCCGTGGCTGGAGAGACAGAGACGGCTAGTGCTGGGCTCAGTAAGAAATGGCAAGACATTTGGATGCAATTATAAGTCAGATGTGTTAACATTTAAGACTTTCATGAAAGAAATATCTGGTACACACTCATAAAAGATTATCTCCCTCTGGTTGCTGTAGAGAAGAGTGGCTGGGGTGGGAGTGACAGCAGATGGCTTGCTGGAAATAGAGTCAGGAGCAGCAGTGGGGGGAGGAGTGGGGGGCGTGTCCTGGAGGCCAGCAGGACCTGATGCTCAGGACCTGAGTGGTGAGCACTCTGGCTCACTGTGGTTTCTTGTGCATGAACTTAGTAAACGACAACGAGCACCTAGTGCCTGAATGCACTGAGCAATTCTGCAGTCAAAGTGGCAGGTTTGGAATCTAGCTGGGAGCCATAGCCAGGCAGACTAGAAACGTAAGGGGAGAATCGCCAGGCTAGGTAAGTCGCAGTGGGATTCCTCATGGACTGCGTCTGCAGGGGTGCCCAGGAGGACATCAGAAAGGCAGTGGCACTCGAGTTGGATGTGAATGGATAAGGACAAGTTTTCTATGAAGACAAATTGCCAGACAGGTGGATCAGAAAAAAAGCAAGAATTTTAAAAAAGGAGTGAACTATGCTTTTACTGTGTGTGTGTGTGCGCGCGCGTGCGCACGCACTCACACTGAGTGCTGGGGATTGGACCCAGGGCTTGGTGCATGTGAGGGAAGCACTCTACCCACTGCAGTACATCCCCAACCCTGAACCATGCTTTAATAACAGTGACATTGGTGATGGGATACTGGGGCCAGAAGAATAACAAATGACACAGGAAGTTGTTGAGGAGACGGAAAATTAGACCCGCTGCCCCCGTCTTTGAGAATGCAACATGAAAATGTAGCAAACGCAGTCCCCTGATTGGGGAAGTGGATAGAGCCCTGTGGAACTCCTGGGCTCAGCTCAGCAGTGGGCACCATAGGAAGAGGCCTGCTGCTTGCCTTCCTTTTTGGTACTAAAGAGCAGGCTCACCTTTGTGTCTCACCCTGATGGCTGGGCCACCAACCCCACACCTGTGAGCAACATTTCCGCCATCCACCTTCTGTGGGTCCCCTGGGGAATCTTAGACCTTCGGATCTTGTTGGCTGATGGGGTGGCATTCCCGTTCTGTGATGTTCCCCGGGGATCCTCACAACAACTCTATCAGATGGGAATTAAGACTCCTGCTGTGTTGATAGTAATTGCTGTCATGAAATGAACGCTAATTGCGTGCCAGACACTGTACCAAGTGCTTTACAAGTAAAAATTCATTTAATCCTTGCTACAATGAGATGGATAGGCACTTTGTCAGCTCCATTTTACAGCTCAGGACACCAAAATCCAGAGAGGTTAACTTAACTACTTAAGTACGTCCAGCAATTGTGGAGCCAGGACTCAGTCCTGTTTCTATACAACTCCAATGTCCTTTTCTAACATAGTCAATTAACTGGACCTAACTGTGACCTAAAGTCAAGGTTTGGAGGAACAAAATAACCACTATTCCCATGTCACACTGAAGGACAGGACTGATTTAAGGACTGCTCTCTCTCTCTCTCTCTCTCTCTCTCTCTCTCTCTCTCTCTCTCTCTCTCCCCTCTCTCTGGAGTCTGCCTTTATTAATTCTTTTCCTTATATGGCTTCAAGTCACCTCCCTAAGGGGCCCTTGGTGTTCCTTTCTGGCATGGGGCTAATTAGAGACCAGGTAGGAAGTAGATGTTTCCCCGAGGCCCAGTCCCGCAGCCCAGCTGGACGGCACTCTGCGCTCTACTTCCTTCTCTCCTCCTTCCTGCCTCACTGCAGAAAGGCCACAGCCAATGTCAGTTGCCATGACAGTCCCAGCACCTCCCCTCCATTAAATTCCATGTAGAAGTCACCCTAACAAGTAGCCTACACACAGCAGAGCACAGAACTCCTATTACAACAACCCATAATCTGACAGGCTCTGTTAGCAGTTTACCAAAATCTGTTTCTTTTTTTTCCCAAACAAAACCCTCATCACATTTCCCAGCATTCCTTGCAGTATGACAACGCCAGGGGGTGGGGCTCTGCACAGTGGGCAGCTGTGCAGATGTGACCGACACTTCCCCGGCTGGCTGCTAAGACCTCCCTTGGGCCATCTCCTCCATGTTCTTTCCCCTTCCTGCTCACGGGGATGGTTGCCAGGGTGATGGGGACAGCCACAGGACTTAGGTGGCACAGACACCATCAGTTAGGGCCTCCCAGGGGCTGAGCTCAGCAGACCACCCAGTTTTCTCACTCCACTGACCTGGAACAAGATGGCACCTACATAAATCCTGTACTTAAACTGTCTCGTGATGGCTTTTGTGACTTTCTGCCCCAGAGGAGGGAGACTATTGAAGACAGGCCAACAGTATTCATATTTAGAGCTTCCCACTGAATATGGCACCTGGCCAAAAGTGGTGCCTAATACATGTTGATTCACTCACCAGTGTTGGCTGACTACTGAATCCTCTAGCTGCTTCTTGTTTTACCCCCAGGCGATGCCTCGGTTTCTTCCTCGGGCCCCCAGGCTCCAGGGTAAAGCTTGGAGGCTCATTACAGGCAGAGCGCTTTTACCATCGGGAGTCACTGATGCCCATCCAGGGGAAACTGAAGTCACTTCTACCAAGGGCCAGAGAGGGCCGAAAACCTGGAAGTGGAGGGGACTTCCATTGTCACCAAAACAGTCACAGGCATGAGAAGTGCCTTCCTGTCTGAAACAACAAGGAAAACCCAAAATGATGAAATGTGGAGCGTTGGTTTGAAACGCCCTGGACATCAGACAACATGAGGCCGCAGTAGCCATCTGAGGGTTGGTATAGAAGTGAAGAGTGTTGACTAGGTGGGCCAAAGACTGGGGTGCTACCAGGTGGGCCTTAGGACCACCCTGGTTCACTGCCCTAAGAACGTCTGCAGGCCTCAGTGCAGGGAGGGGATGGGGTCAGAGCCCAGCTGACAGGCTGCATTGAGAAATGAGGCTGGGATCCAGGGAGAACAGTGGACAGAAAGCTCCCAGAACCCACAGCAGACAAGAAAGCACAGCCCAGAGAGCACCTCAGAAGACTGCCCTACATACCTAGAACAGCTAAAAAGAAAAACTGATCACATCGAGTGCTGGCAAGGAGACCGAGGACCTGGAACCCAGTGGGTAGAAACGCAACACAGTACAAGGATTTTGGCAAAGAGTTTGGCAGCTTGGTAAAAAGTTATATATACACCTGCCACCCACTAGCCATTCTATTAGTCATTCCATTGTTTATTTTATTAAAAAAAAATTAAAGCATATATCCAAAAAAGACTCATACAAGAGTGTTCATACCAGCTTTGTTTTAGATATCTAAAAATTGGCAATAACCGATACATCCATATGGGTAAATGAATATGAAACTGTGGTGCATCCATAAAGTGGAATACCACACAGCAATAAAAAGGAACAAATAATTAATATGTGCTGCAAGATGGATAAATTTCAAAATTATTATACAAGGTAAAAGAAGCCACACATACAAAAGAGTATATAATGATTAATTTCATGTATATAAAAGTCTTAGAAGTGAAAATTAATGCATAGCAATAAAAAAGCAAGTCACAGATGCCTTGGAAGTGGGGGAGAGGTCAGGAGAGTGAATAGAAGGAGCCAAATTGTAAAGGGGCATAAGAACCATCTGGGGTGATTGATGTGTTCATTGTCCTGATTTCACGGCTGTTTCTATGAGTCAAAGTTCATCTAACTAAACACTTGACACATATACAGTTTATTGCATGTCAGTATTCCTGTCTCTTTTCATAAAAGAAAGCCATGGGACAGGAGGTGTAGGGATATAGGTTCTGCAACAATAAACGCTTCTTCATCTTGCATAACAGCCTCTGAGAACTGCTCCCCCAACACTCAGATTCAGATGTCTGCCGGGGCCTCCCCAGATGCAGCTGGTGTGGAAAAAGAGAAAATTGGTTGAGGAAGAAAAAGCCCTGGGTTTAGCACAGATCCCCCTTAAACTCTCCGTGACGTCACGTGGAAATGTCCAAACATTGGTGGGGTGGGGCTGAGCTCGCCTTCTGAAAACAGCAAGGCTAACAGAGGAGTTTGCGACCTGGACCCGCCTGGGTTCGTTTCCCACCTTGTCACTGAAGAGGAAGGCGCGTGGAGGAGGGCAGGAAGCCTAAGCACCCACCTGAGTATTTATCAGAGACCCATCCAGGGTGCCGTCAGGACCCAGAGCCTCCTCAGGCCCTTTCCAATCACTAAGCCCAGCCGAGAAACTTCAGCATCAGTTCCAATTCCGTCCCTCACGAGTCATGTGACTTCTGACATATTTTCTCTTCCATAAAGTAGAACAAATAATGCCAACTTAACAAGTTTTATTAGCAAATGATGAAATGAAATAACATGCTAAAAATCACCCAGTGCAAAGTAGGAAAAAACAAATCAAACCTACGCGAGATTTCATCTCACACCAGTGAGATGAGTGGCAGCCGTCAAGAATACAAACAAATGCTCCAGAGTAGGCTGAGAACACTTTTACACTGTTGGAGGGACTGTAAATCAGTACAACCACTATGGGAATCAGTATGCGGTTCTCCTCAAGAGACTAGGCATGGAACCTCCTATGACCCAGCTAGACTGCACCTCGATATTTATCCTAAAGAATAAAAGTCGTCATACTATAGTAATACGTGCACACCCACATACTATGGAGCCAGCCCAGGTGTCCATCAGTGGATGAATGGACAATGAAAATGTGGTGCGTATACAAATGAAGAGTTTTATTCAGGCATAAAGAAGAATGAATGTGTGTCATTTGCAGGAAAATGGATGGAACTTGAGACCATTACGTTAAATGAAATAAACCAAACTCAGAAGGTCCAGGGGCAGGTATTTCTCTCATATGCGGAAGCTAGAGAGGAAAAAGGAAAAGAAAGGTGAGTGTGTTGGGCTGGGGGTGGGGGGAATCTTATGAAAATCAAAGGGACATTAGTAGAGTAGAAGAAAGAAATGGGGGATGAGAGGAGGGGAAGAAAGGGGAAGTGCTGCTGAGTGCTGTTGGTCACCTGGTTACATCGTGTGCATGGACAAACATGTAGCAACAAGTCCCACCATTAGGTACAACTACAATGCACCAATAAAAATGTGGGGGAAAAACAGAAATAAAAGCACTTTCAAAAACCACATAGCACAAGGTCCATGTGTTAGAGAAATTCCATCTGCAAAAAGAAGCTTGGGAGCTCCAGACTCTGAGGGGCAGCGGGACAGCACGGAGGACTCAAAGGACACTGTCTTGACACAGCTGGGGGTGAGTGATTTTTGCTTTTCTGGGCCCCCATCTGCAGTCACATGAAACAAAGACCCAATAAATCCTGGACTCCACATTATCCTCTAAGGTAAGGATACAGGAATGAATAAGACGTGGCCCTTGACCTGGCTGAGTTCAGAGCTCTGCGGTTCTGATCAGCCGTGAGTATGAGCCCCAATTACTGTACAGTCATGTAATATATAAATGTACAAATGGGGAGACCAGTGCCACCTTAGTGGGACCTTTCATTACAAGTGTCAGGAAGCTTTTAAAACCAGTATGTTCCACTTGGCTTCTCAAATCAGCATCTCTGAGCATTAGCCCGTGGACACACACGTGCATCTCTGATTCCCCAGGTTATCCGGAGGCCTGTGGGTCCACAGAGATCAGGTGGAAACCACCAGTGTTGGAGTGTGGGTGGAAATCTCACTGAGCCCAGGAGAGTCACTGCAAGTTAGCTGTTCCTTGTTACAATAAATCTCTAAGGACTAGTTTGCTTCCTCTTCATTTATCTCGTTCCCCTAAAATGTACCAAAAACTTTCTCACCAATTCAGAATGTCCCCTTATTTGAGCTCCAATCAAGCAAGTCATTTGCGCTTTCAACCCAGGGTTAGAGTTCTCCATCTCTATCGAATGTGGGCTACAGGAATGAATGCCTGGTTCTCAGCATCAAGCAATCATGACATGGCAAGCCTGTCCTGGGGCCTCCTCTGAACAAACAGCCCACAGCACTGAGAACAAACTGTTCTGTCACCCGGGAGGCTGCTAGTGCTGATGACTCTCTACACCTGTTGTCACAAGTGCTAACAGTAAGTGACACCATTGCTGAGGATGTTTGTATCGGCCTCCCCCAAAAGATGGACCGTTGCATCCGATTTCCAGCTCTGATTTGTAAAAATAAAGAATAGTGATTACTAATCACAAGTGAAAGAAAATAGGCAGCATTTACAAGGCACTGCCCCTACACCCAGATCCACCTGAGCACTTTGATTATGTGACCTAGGCCCTGCCATGGATTGACTATTGTCCCTGATTCTTGTCCTGATTCTTGCCCTTTGCCAGGTGCCTGGACAGCTGTGCCTGGAGGTGATGTGTATTTTCCCATCCCTTCCCCTTCAAACAAGTCTGGACGGCATCTGCCAATCCAGAGATACCTAAGTTGAAGCCACTCATGTGTCTGTTTGTTACATAGCAACAGCTGACAGATCCAATCCCCTAGAACAGAGGCTGACAAACTAAGGTCTGGGCTCACCTCCTGGTTTTTTGTTTGTTTTGGTTTTTGGTTTTTGTTTGGGGTTTTTTTTTTTTTGTTTTGTTTTGTTTTTGTTTTTGTTTTGTACCAGGAATTGAATCCAGAGGTACTTAACCACTGAGCTACACCCCAGCCCTTTTTTACATTTTACTTAGAGACAGGTCTCCTCGCTAAGTTGCTTAGGGCCTCGCTAAGTTGTCGAGGCCGGCTTTTGAACTCCCCATCCTCTTGTCTCAGCTTCCCGAGCTGCTGGGATCACAGGCATGTGCCACATGCCTGTTATTTTTTTAAATAAAGTTTTATTAGAACACAGCAACACCCACTCATTTTCATGGTGTCTCTGTCTACCACAGCAGTGTTGAAGTTGTAGTAAGGGTCATATGACCTGCAAGGCCCAAACTATTCATTATCTGGCCCTTTACAGAAAAAGTTTGTTGAGTCTTAGCTGAAGCCAAGGATTCTCAAATTTTAGCCTGCATAGGAATCACCTGGAAGACTCATTAAACATAGATAAGTCTGGCCCCAGCCCCCAAATTCTGACTGTGTAAGTCTAGAGAAGAGTTCAAGAATTCACGTTGCAAATAAATTTCTAGGTAGATGCCAATCCTGCTGGTACGGTGTCCACACTTTGAGAAGCACTGCCCCGGAGTAGCATTGAGAGTTGTTTTCAACTCTGGCTTTGAATCTTAGAATCACCTGGAGGGTTCTTGAAAAATCTGTTCCCCAAAGTGCCCTCCAGGGTTCCATTGTCTAGCATGGCATCCTGGGGTATCAGTAATCATTACAAGCTCCCTGGAAGCTCAGAATCGAAAACACCACTCAGCAGCTGGGATTGGGTCACTCAAAAATCCACTGAGCAGCTTCCATGAAGAGGCAACTGTTCTGGAGAGAAGAGAGTGGAGGAGGGCCACCTGGGGAGGAGACACCCATCAGGTTTTGAGACTGAAAACTTAACTTGCATTTAACATACAATAAAGAATTTGGGCTCAAGGTTTTAAGCAATTTGGCCTGGCCGGGACCACATTCTAGAAGTGGCGGGGCAGGACCACGATGCCGATCTGAGTGCCTTGGAACATTTCTTTGCTGCCCAGCTGCTATTCCATAAGATATCTGTCCCCCTGTGGGACAGATCAGGGGGAATTCTGGTCCAGACTCCAGGCTCAACTCCTATGCAAATTGAATGATATT